ACTAGATTGCACTAACACTGACACACTGTCTCCTACAAATGGGAGGCCACCTGTAACAACCAAGAGTTAGTTACTCTGGCGCACACAGAACACACTATAGAGAAGATGATGTGGGAGTGGTTACCCTTTGAGCTGCAGAGAGTTTTTTGGTATACAACAGGAGGACTCACTGAGGAGTCTCCTGGATCTATTGGGGTATATATACTACTACAGGGTTATTTGTACATGTGTACTATACAGTTGATAGAGACAGTGGCTGATGATGTCATGGGACCTAGCCCGTATGATCAGCTCCACTGTGTGAGAGAGTTGAGTCCAAAATAAGAAGAAAGGCAATGTGGCGCGAGAAAGAGGAGTTAGAACCAAAAGGGGAAAGTGCCGCGTGGCACCATGTGTGAAAGCTAAAGTACAAGGTTAAAGCGGAGAATAAAAGTAAAGGGAAGGTCCAAAAATTGTGTTATCGTAACACTACCCCCCTTCTAAGGCTCGACTTCCAGGCGAGACCAAATATCAGAGGTAGTAGTTAAATTTTCGGGCATAGTTTGAAAGAGAGAATTAAAAAGTTTTGAATCCATGCCTCTAAGCTTCCTAGGAGCTGAGGGATTCTTAGAATAAAATTTGCGAACAGTGTCACGGGAATTGTCCAGATGGGCTTCTGGTTCCCACGTTCTGTCCTCGTCTCCATAGCCCTTCCATAGGACTAGGAACTCTATTTTACCACGCTTCAAGCATGCATCCACTACTCGTTCGACTTCAAACTCTTTTTCACCTTCCTGGGTGACTACAACCAGTCCGGGCCGGTCTACACGCTGTCCTGGCAGCGGCCCTTTGTAGGGTTTTACACGACTAATGTTGACCGTCGGTACTACCCTCATTCATTTCGGGAGTTCTAGCTCCACTGTGTTGGGTTTGACTTCCTTAATCCGGTAAGGGCCAATCCATTTTTCGGTCAGTTTTCTAGACTGCCAATCTTTTAACTTTAAATGGTCGGTATCTAACCAGACCAGGTCGCCGACCTTGTAGTCAGGGGCGTTAGAGCGTCTATGCTCTGCCCTGTCTTTCATCTGCTCTGCAGTTTTGAACAGCACCTTGCACATGTGTCCAAGACAGATTTCATGTCTTTGGCCATGTTCTCAGCAGCCTCATTCTTGCTTTTACCAGGTTCTACACCCATTCTGGAGAGGTACGATCTAGTAACCTCGAATGGTGCCTTTCCTGTAGCCGACACTGTTTGATATTATAAGAGAACTGGGCTATCTTTAGCCACTTGGCCCAATCCGTCTGTCTGTCATTAATAAATATCCGGAGATATTGTTTCAACTCCTGGTTGAGTCTCTCCGTTTGTCCATCAGTTTGCGGATGGAACACTGTTGATAATTTAGGTTTGATGCCCAGCATCCGGCATAATTTTTTTGTAAATTCGCTAGCGAATTGAGGTCCTCTATCGGAGATAACCGTTTCTGGTAACCCATGGATAGACCATACAAAATCTTTAAATAAATCTGCCGTACCCGCGGCAGTAATGGTTTTATTGGTGGGTATGAATACCACTTCTTTGGAGAAGCGATCCACTACCACTATTACTGAATCATACCTATTTGACTCGGGTAGATCCGTCGTAAAGTCAACCGATATATCCTGCCAGGGACCAGCTGGTATCGGATTCGGCATAAGTTTACCGGCCGGCGGTTGGTGAGAATTCTTAGCCATGGCACATCTCAAACAGGATTTTATGTATTCCTGTACGTCTTTGACCATGCCAGGCCACATGTAGTTTCTGGAGATTAACTCCATTGTTTGTTGCCACCCAGGGTGCCCAGCCACTGGAGTGTTGTGATGTCTATCTATCACCTTGATCCTTGCGGACTCAGGCACATAGATTTTGTCTTTAAAATGGAAGAGCCCATCTTCCCATAAATAATTTTTATTGCCGTCAAGGTGCGCCTTCTCTTTGGAGGAGATGTCTTTCTTGAAGACTTCCAGAAGATCAGAATCCTGCCTGATTCTAACATTGGCAACCCTTGATTGGTCTATCAAGGTAACACCTTTGTTGTCATCTTTGATGCCGTTGGCATGATCCTCTCTTCTGGATAAAGTGTCCGCTTTCCCCATAGAACTTCCAGGCTTATGAATTAATTTATAATTAAACCTTGACAAGTATACCGCGTAGTGGGCGACAAACTATGCAATAAATAGGCACAAGGTCTCCAAAGATCATCAGGACATTTAATTGATAGAACAGCCCAGTAGCAAAATCAGAAGAGTCGGTTTCTAGCCGGAACTCTTTGTCCAATTCTGGAAATGCTAATATGGGCGCCGTTGTAAACACCTGTTTAAGCTTATCAAAAGCTTCTTGTTCCTTGGCGCCCCAGTGCCAAACGATATCCTTTTTAGTGAGATCGTTCAACGGTCTTGTGATTTTTGCGAAGTTTTTGATAAACCTTCGGTAGAAATTGCCTAAGCCAAGGAAGGCCCTAACTCCTTTGACGCGAGTAGGTTCTGGCCATTCCAAAATAGCTTGAACTTTCTCAGGATCCATCCTGATTCCGTTCTGGCCTATGATCATACCGAGGAAGTCTACTTCTTTTACTTTAAAATTACATTTTTTGGGTTTGACGAATAGGTCCCGTTCCTGTAAGCGTCAAAGGACTTCTTGCATGATCCTGTCATGCTCAGCCTGTTACGATAACACAATTTCCGGACATCTCCTTTCCTTTTTATTCTCCGCTTTAACTTTATACTTTAAGTGCCACGCGGCATTTCCCTTTCTCGCGCCGCGTTGCCTTTCTTTTACTTTTAGACTTAACTCTCTCACACAGTGGAGCTGGCCATACGGGCTAGGCCCTATGACATCATCAGCCACTGCCTTCATCAACTGTATAGTACACATGTACAAACAACCTGTAGTAGTATATATACCCCAATAGATCCAGGAGACTCCTCAGCGAGTCCTCCTGTTGTATACCAACAAACTCTCTGCAGCTTAAGGGGTAACCACTCCCTCAACATCTTCTTTATAGTGTGTTCTTGTGTGCGCCAGAGTAACTAACTCTTGGTTGTTACATTAGGACTCGCTCTTCTACTCTCTCGCACGTGTGTGCAGAAGTCCCATCATTTGGGCACCCGGACTCCAGGGTGAAGGAGATTGGTTAGCGGTTAGGAATATCCCATATAGCAAATAGGTGCGCTCCTAGCGACGGCCTTGTAGTGCTTTGGGAGAAGAACCCAAAACCTGTGATACGCGGCCCCCAGCGTTAAGGGGAGTACTTAGCTCAGCAGCTGGTGTGGAACCACTGTTGATTAGAATAAAAATACATAACTTCTTTTTCGAATACCTCTGACCAGGCCGGGCACTTGCCTCCGCCAGTCTGGAGAAGGGTTGACAGCTTAACAAGCGGACCACCCCCTGACAACCGTTCGGACCAGGGTTTATTACGTTTACATTTTATATACATTTTCAAATACTATAGTGTGGGTAGTCGGAGATTGAGATTCGATACTCAGCTGGGAAGAGGTTGATCCGCAGATAGCAAGCGGGGACCCCCAGTTACCTATTTTTACGTTACCCAAAGAAAACAAGTCGACGTGTCGTCGCAACCCCAAGATATGAATGCGCTACTGCACGCAATGCGTGTGCAGATAGCTGAATTAACCTCGCAGCTCGCTGAGATACAGGCCAACCCCCCTGTAGCAACCCCCTCGGTAGAGAAAAAGTTTAATAAGAAAGTCGAAGTCGTCGCTGACCCTGGCGCCTTCGAAGGAGACAGAGCGCGATTTGCCGAATGGTGGATCAAACTCCAGATTTGGGTCAAGGCGAACTGGGACGCTTTCGCCGACGATTTTGAAGTAGCCACTGTGGTGCTATCTCGCCTAAAAGGACCTGTGGCGGGTCAATACGCCCAAGTAAGACTCCAGGAATGCTACACCGCGGGTGTGTGGCCCACCTGGGACGATCTCAAAACAGAGATCGAAAAATATTTCAAACCGCAAGCTGAGCGTGACTGGGCTCGGCAGCAAATCCGTTCGTTCAAACAGGGAAACCTGAGGACGGACGATTACGTCACCCGGTTCCTGGCCCTCTCCATCCAAGGAGGGTTAGGTAACGAACACGCAGTAGAACTGCTGGAACGCAATGTGAACCCTCGCATTGCAGAGCAGATCTACCTGCAGGATACGAGAAGTGACGACCTGGCTCTGGCAGCCGAGGAAGTCAGACGAGTCGGTAGGGCCATGGAGCTCTACGCTATGCACCAAGGTGGCGGGTCCACCAAACAAACCACTATACCCCAGAGGCGCCCTGGGTCATCAAACCAACATCATAATCACTCTCACGGGTTCAAGCCGTTCGGGCTGCAGCCAGGACAGGGTGCTCCTATGGATATCGGCGCGGTCCAAGGCGGACAAATGCGCAGATTCAAGGGCAACTGTTACAACTGCGGCCAAGAGGGACACATGTCCCGAGACTGTAGAAACGGGGCGCAGGCTGCCCAACAAAAAAATAATCAAGGGCGCCAGGCGCGCCAACTAGAAATTGAGAAGCCGGACGATCGGCTCAACTCTTTGGCCGGTCGTTCTTACGACGAAATCCGGGCCTTCTTCTATGACCAACAGGTCAACGAAATGAAGGCTCAGGGAAAAGAATTCGGGGCTTAGGTCACTTGGGTGCCTTAGCTCCTGGTAAAAATGAAGTAAACCACAACAAAGTGGCCCCTGCTCCGGGGTGTTGCACGAGCAATAACGGAATGACAGGGATGGCTCCCCAATTTGTAAATAAGTTTTTAAATTTGTTATCAGAAGTATGTACTTGTATGAAGAAATGTAACTGCAATATTTATGATACTACCGCTGCACCAGCGTCTCCCTTGGAGCGTGGCCCCGGCGAGACAAACACTAGGGTGCTTGATTCTGGTAAAACAAAATTAGAAAAACATGTGTCATTCAAGATTCCTTCTTCTTCTTCTTTGGAGCCACCCTTTCCCGAAATCCCAAGGCGTGTGTTGATGCGCACGTATTTATTCCAAAAGGAGATCTGTTTAGACGTTGGCGTGGAAAACCTTGCCAGGGGCAAAGTACACTCAACGAGCGCACTGCTTGATTCAGGCGCTAACGGGATCTTCATAGATCAGGTCTGGGCGGAGCAAATTGGACTACCCCTTGTAAAATTAGAAACGTCTATTCCCGTCTATAACGTTGACGGTACGCTTAACGCAGGTGGCTGTATTACACACAAATGTTCTTTTGTGGTCGAATACCAAGGACACAGAGAACGAGTCACTGCCGAGGCTACCCAACTAGGGAAGATTAATTTAATCTTAGGCTGGACCTGGCTATTTAAACACAATCCTGAGATCAACTGGCAGACAGGGGTTGTCACATTGTCACGTTGTCCCCAGGAATGTGTAAACTTGGGTAAACCAAATCATGTCCGTCACAATGAGCGTCTCGAAAAGTTAAACGCTAGTCACGTTTACGAGCTCAGATCTTTAGAAAAGATCGACGATGATGATGATGAGGTAAAACCTGAGGAAGAGATTAAGAGGCTGGTACCTCCCGAGTACCACGACTTCTGGAAAGTCTTTTCAAAACACAAATCAGAGCGCTTCCCAGAGGCTAAGCCTTGGGACCATGCTATAGATTTGAAAGACACCTTCAAACCAAGGAAGGGACACATGATACCACTCTCTGCTCCCGAAAGAGACGAGGTATCTAGTTTCATAGACGAACAACTTAGGAAAGGTTACATCAGACCTTCCAAAAGTCCTATGACGTCCCCGGTGTTCTTCATTCCTAAAAAGGATGGTAAAAAGCGAATAATTATGGACTATCGTTACGTGAATGAGCACACGGTTAAAAATGCGTATCCTCTGCCTTTGATTAGTCAGCTAGTGGACAAATTGGCTGGCGCCAAGATCCTGACAAAGATGGATCTCAGATGGGGTACAACAATGTACGAATCAAAGAGGAAGATGCTTGGAAGGCCGCGTTCACGTGCCACCGAGGATCTTTCGAACCCCTTGTTATGTTCTTTGGGTTGACCAATTCACCGGCGACCTTCCAGAGCATGATGAACGAGATCTTTGCGGATATGGAAAACTGTGTTGTCATTTACATTGACGATTTATTAATATTTACAAAGTCGGACGATAAGGCTGAGCATGACAGGATCGTGCAAGAAGTCCTTCGACGCTTACAGGAACGGGACCTATTCGTCAAACCCGAAAAATGTAATTTTAAAGTGAAGGAAGTAGACTTCCTCGGTATGATCATAGGCCAGAACGGAATCAGGATGAACCCTGAGAAAGTTCAAGCTATTTTGGAATGGCCAGAACCTACTCGCGTCAAAGGAGTTAGGGCCTTCCTAGGCTTAGGTAATTTCTACCGAAGGTTTATTGAAGACTTCGCAAAAATCATGAGACCGTTGAACGATCTCACCAAAAAGGACCTTGTTTGGCATTGGGGCGCCAAAGAACAGGAAGCTTTTGATAAGCTTAAACAGGCATTTACAACAGCGCCCATATTGGCATTCCCTGAATTAGACAAAGAGTTCCGGCTAGAAACCGACTCTTCTGACTTCGCCACTGGGGCTGTTCTATCCATCAAATGCCCTGATGATCTTTGGAGGCCTTGTGCCTATTTATCGCATAGTTTGTTGCCTACAGAGCGTAACTATCAAATATACGACAAGGAGATGCTGGCCATCATTAGAGCTTTAGAGCACTGGCGGTACTACTTAGAAGGTGCTAGGCACCAATTCGAAATTTGGACCGATCATAAGAACCTAGAGTACTTCATGACGGCCCGAGACCTGAACCGGAGACAGGCCCGCTACGCGGTGTACTTGTCAAGGTTCAATTATAAATTAATTCATAAACCAGGAAGCTCAATGGGGAAAGCGGATGCTTTATCTAGAAGAGAGGATCATGCCAACGGCATTGAAGATGACAACAAAGGTGTCACTCTGATAGATCAATGAAGGGTTGCCAATGTTAGAATCGGGCAAGATTCCGACCTCCTGGAAGTCTTCAGGAAAGACATCTCCCCAGAGGAAAAGGCGCGCCTTGACGGCAATGAAAACTATTTATGGAAAGACGGGCTCTTTCATTTCAAAAACAAAATCTATGTGCCGGAATCCGCAAGGATCAAGGCAATAGATAGACATCATGACACTCCAGTGGCTGGGCACCCTGGATGGCAACGAACGATGGAGTTGATCTCCAGAAACTACATGTGGCCGGGCATGGTCAAAAACGTACAGGAATACGTAAAATCCTGTCTGAGATGCGCCATGGCCAAGAATTCCCATCAACCGCCGGCCGGTAAACTCATGCCGAACCCGATACCAGCTGGCCCCTGGCAGGATATATCGGTGGACTTCACGACGGATCTGCCCGAGTCAAACGGGTACGATTCAGTAATGGCGGTAGTAGACCGCTTCTCCAAAGAAGTGGTATTCATACCCACCAACAAAAACATCACCACCGCCGGTACGGCAGACCTATTTAAGGATTCCGTATGGTCCATCCATGGGTTACTGTCACGACTTGAACCAGAAGCGCTAGTCTAAGCGCTAGTTTCTTTTTCCTTTTCTTTTATATCTGATCACATGACAGATAAGATATGTTAAGCTGCTGCTTTAGCGCGGATAACATAATACGTAGTTATATCAGATCACGTGACCACCACGTGACATGAGTCTAGAATTATTACAAAAAACATCAGTCAGCGCCTCATGGCTACTGCATGTTAGCTCAGTCAGCGCCTCATGGCTGACTTTCAGAAACATATATATAGTAGACCATCATGTACATACTTTCCTCAGTTGTTGATTAATTCTCAATCGCTACTTGAAACACTACTTGTCTGATTTAAGCCTTCATCCCTCCGTTCACTCGGCATAGGGGATAAGGGTTTTACACAATCAACAACTGCCACAAGTACCGTTTATGAATATAACAGCAACAATCCTAACCACCATCATCGTCACCATCATCATCATCCATCCTAACCCTACTCAAACACTCAACCCAAACCACCACTACTCTTCCACTCCATCACATCCCCACTCGCCCCAACACCATCTTATCCTTCTTTCCCGCCAACATATCACCTTCCTCATCCCAAGACTCCTTTGTAACCATCCCCCTATAAATACATTTATATCACTATAATCTCTTTGGTGTGGAACCATTGGGATTTTCTCGATTTTACCTAGTTTCATTTTCGATTTCCTCTGACCAGGCCGCGCATTTGCGTCCGCCAGTCGGGAGAAGGACTGAAAGCTTAATAAGCTGGTCACATTGGGACAACCGTTCGGACCCCAATTTATCACTATACTTTTTACATAAAATTCGTAAAATACAAAAATAGTTACCATACCTACATAGTCAGTAGTGGGCTGAAGAGGACCACTTTGACTCAAAGAGAATAGATAGACTACTAGGATCTTAGAAAGCGGTGTATCGATCCAGCTTATCACTGGTGAACTCCTTTCTATGCTTAGTAGAGATTTTTACATTTGGATCGGAGAGCAACACATTTACTCTCAAGATTACGTATTCAAAGGGAAATTCCCTTTACCAGAAATAGAACCCATTAGAATCCCATCCCCTTTAATCAAATCCGAAACTCCCCCTCCTCCCCAACTCACGTTCAATGTCCAACCTAGAATATCGCGATCTGCCCGAGCCATCCAACAGCACGGACAGCGCATTTACCAGGGAAATGATGGACGCATTACCCAGAATAGACACTCCCCCCCCGAAAGAAGCGCGATTGGAAGCATACGTAAAACAAGAAGTAGAAAAGGCGATAAGACAAACACAAATGCATTACCAATCGCAGCTAGACGAGGCACTCGAAGAAGTGAGCGTCTTGCAAAGAAAATTAAAGAAACAGATACCGCCACCTCCAGAAAAGGTGGAAAGAAGTAGAACGGCACTGGAGAAACCCGAGAACTTCTCCGGAGATAAGAAAAAGTATAGGGCCTTTAGAGAGTCCTTATTATTACATTTCGAAGACGATGCCGTATATTTCCGAGATGACCGAAAAAAGATAAGCTTTGTGCTATCTTTTATGAAAGAAGGAGAAGCCGCGGCCTTCCGGACCGATTGGCTAGAGAACCGAGTCGATGCCCAACAGCTGGGGCTCGATATTACAAACACGTACGGAAGTTGGCCGTATTTTGCGGACAAAATGGAAGAAAGGTTCAAGGACAGTTTTGAAAAAGAAACTGCCAAGAACGAAATATTGACCCTGAGACAGGGCAATGAAACCGCCCAAGCCTTCTTTGAAAGGTTTGAAGAAAAGAAAAGATGGGCAGGATACACAAATAGAATAAATGAAGAGTTCCTAGTATCTCTACTCAGAAGGAATATGAACAAACCGCTAGTGGATAGGGTGATCTACGGCGGGCACATTCCAAGAGATTACCAAGAGTGGAAAAGGGAACTCATCAGAATAGACTATATTTGGAGAGAGAGAGAAAAAGAGAAGAAAGGTTCCGATACTGGGAAGAAACCCTATTCGGAACAAAAGAAGGAAGGAGAGAAGAAGAAAGACGGAACCGGATATACCTATACCGGTAGCGGAGAAAGAATGGAGGTAGACAAAGCAAAGTTCCGCACGGAGGGACGATGCTACCGATGCGGAGAAAAGGGACATAGAAGCTTCGAGTGCAAAGACGCACAAAAAAGGAAGCCACAATTTAATGTCCGAGAGTTCTTAGAAAAGATGACAAAAGAGGAAAGGGAAAAACTCCTTGAGGGTTTTTAAAGAGGCCAGCGGTACCACATCGACCGACTGAGCCTAAAGACGTTTCGAATCGATTTCTTCCTTTAACTGTAGATACATGTGACTCAGAATTGTTACGCTGCAGCTTTAGCGCGGATGACAATAAAATTATTTCTACTCAGAAAGAAATCCGAAACGAAAAAGATGTGACTAGAGTAAAAGCGGCGCAGAGTGATAAGACAACCGCAGTTTCGACGGCGGGCAAATCACTAAAAAGCGCAGCATTTACGATAGAACCTAAGATTCCTACACCCGATGCGGCGAACTCTACGGAGAAAAACGCAGCAGAGACTGTAGAAGAAAGGTCAGGAACCCCTTTAAAAAAACCTAGAACAGAAGTTTGGACCCCAGAATGGGTAGTAGACAGGCTAAGAGACCAAAAGGAAGAAAGATCCATTGGGATTCTAAGTGCCTGGACACATAAAAAGAGAGCGAGAGAAGTAACCCGGGAAACGATAAAAGAAATCAACCGGTTACCAAAGGTAGAAGCTATACAAGCGATCATAGAAATTGCCTCCCCTAAAAAGTACATTAGGGGCAC